CGGAGAAAAGGTGGCGGAACTCAAACCTGGCCACGCCCTCATCAAACCCTAGGACCGCCCCTTTAGAGAACAGGAATGCAAGTAAAATTTGGGAGGGGCTATTTCCGGTGTGGGAGGGGCTATTTCCGGTGCGGCCGGCCCGGAAAAAGGTGCCGGAACGCGGTTCCGCCGCGTTCCGGCTGAAAAAAAGCCCTGAGCAGTATACATATAAAAAGTAATGCAAGCCCAGCAATGTTACTTTATTGGAATATTACATCTTTAAAATTACTAGAAACTGTAGGTTTAATGGCTAAATGCCTCTAACAATTTATATATTCTTTTCCAGAGCAGTTGGTGGGTTTTAAGGTTTTAATGGTTAAGGTTTTAATCATTGCCATGGAAGTCAAATAGGTTATGTGCTATAAGAGTCCTTTAAAAATCTGTAGCTTGTCTAGATTGACTGTTTAAGTACTAATTGAAAATTTAGATGAACTGAGGAGAAAACAAATCTATTTGGATGAATCCAGAGGAAAAATGGATACAGTTAATACAAAGTATCATCAGTGATTGTTTTCTGTGATCTGAAGAAATACTGCATTGTGCTTTTGCCATATTCCATTATGACAGTAGTGGCGAACCTATGGCACGGGTCCAGAGGCGGCACTCAGAGCCCTCTCTGTGGGCACACACGCCGTCGCCCCAATCCTAGGCCTTCAGCTGGGTTTTATAAAACCTTTTCGCTTTAGGCCTCCGCTGCCGCGTGCAAAAAAAAAAAAAAGGTTCAATCAATCAGTCAATTTCAACTTCTCGCGGGGAAAAAAAAAGATCTTGCAAAGTTGGAATTGATTGATTGAACTTTTTAGTCCCACCAAGTCTGCCGTTACCACCACAGCCATGTCCACCCAATGGGCCACCCCCCCAATGGGCCACACCCACCCGGCACCCGACGATGCATAAGTGGGTTTTGGGTTGCAGTTTGGGCACTCGGTCTCTAAAAGGTTCGCCATCACTGCATTATGACATCTGTAACTAGAAATAAAATGTCTGTGGAGAGTCTCAGTCATCCAGATCATGATTGTCCCAAAGGTGCTTTTTCAAAAACTAATTGGACTTTCTTTTTCCTTGAAGGCATTTCGCTTCTCATCCAAGAAGCTTCTTCAGTTATTCATTTAGACAACAAAATCTGATTTATGAGTATAAATAAGAGATGAAAAGCTGCTAGATTATTAGGTTGCTCCACCTTCTCATGTCAGAAGGTTTGAAAATAA